CCACCAAAATCACAACTACCACTATCACAACTACCACTATCACAACCACCAATTTCACAACTACCACTATCACAACCACCACTAACACAACTACCACTATCACAACTACCACTATCACAACCACCCCTATCACAACCACCACTATCACAACTACCGCAACACAACTACCACTATCACAACTACCACTATCACAACTACCACTATCAAAACCACCACTATCACAACTACCACTATCACAACCACCCCTAATCACAACTACCACTATCACAACTAAACCACTATCACAACTACCGCAATCACAACTACCACTATCACAAACTACCACTATCACAACCACCACTATCACAACTACCACTATCACAACTACCACTATCACAACACCACTATCACAACCACCATAAACACAACTACCACTATCACAACTACCACTAATCACAACCACCACTATCACAAATACCACTATCACAACCACCACTATCACAACCACCACTAAACACAACTACCACTATCAAACTACCACTATCACAACCACCACTACACAACTACCACAAACACAACCCCCACTATCACAACCACCACTATCACAACTACCACTATCACAACTACCACTAATCACAACCACCTTCACAACTACCACTATCACAACCACCATTATCACAACTACCACTATCACACTACCACAACTACCACTATCACAACCACCACAAACACAACTACCACTATAACTATCACAACTACCACTATCACAACCACCATCACTACCACTATCACAACCACCAATATCACAACTACCACTATCACAACCACCAATATCAAAAACTAAACCCCTATCACAACCACCATTATCAACAACTACCACTATCACAACTACCACAACTACCACTATCACAACCAAACCCCATCACAACTACCACTATCACTATCACAACTACCACTATCACAACCACCACTTATCACTACCACTATCACAACCACCAATATCAAAAACTACCACTATCACAACCACCAATATCACAACTACCACTATCACAACTACCACTATCACAACCACCAATTTCACAAATACCACTATCACAGCTACCACTACCACAACTACCACTATCACTATCACAACTCCACTATCACAACCACCACTATCACTACCACTATCACAACCCCAATATCACAACTACCACTATCCACAACCACCAATATCACAACTACCACTATCACAACTACCACTATCACTACCATCACAACTAACCACTATCACAACCACCACTATCATAACTACCACTATCACAACTACCACTATCACAACCACTATCACAACTACTATCACAACCACCACTATCAAATACCACTACCCCAACTACCACTATCACTACCACTATCACAACTACCACTATCACCCAAACCCCCACTATCACAACCACCACTATCACCACCACCACCACTATCACTACCACTATCACCCCCCACCATCACCACCACTATCACAACCACCACAATCACCACTATCACTACCACTATCACCACCCCCATCACTACCACTATCACCACCACCACTATCACCACCACTACCACCATCACAACCACCACTATCACCACCACCACCACTATCACAACCACCACTATCACCACCCCCCACCACTATCACAACCACCATCACCACTATCACTACCACATCACCACCACCACACTACCAATATCACCACCACCACTATCACCACCACTAAACCCCCATCACAACCACCACTATCACCACCACCACCACTATCACTACCACCACTATCACCACCACCACCACTATCACCACCACTACCACCACTATCACTACCACTATCACCCCACCAATATCACAACAACCACTAACACAACTACCCCTATCACATCCACCACTATCACCACCACTATCACTATTACCACTATCACCACCACCACTATCACAACTACCACTATCAACAACCACCACTATCACAACTACCACTATCACTACCACTATGACAACCACCACTACCACCACCACCAATATCACAACTACCACTATCCCCTACCACTATGACAACCACCACCACCCCTCACAACTACCACTACACAACCACCAGTACTACCACCACTACACAACTACCACTATCACAACCACCACCACCACAACTACACTTTCCATAACCACCACTATCACCTCTACTACCACCATCACAACCACCACTACCACCACCATCACAACTACCACTATCACAAACCACCACTACCACCACCACTACCACAACTACCACATCACAACCACCACCACAACTACCACATCACAACCACCACTACCACCACCACCACAACTACCACTAAAACACAACCACCACTACCACCACCACTACCACAACTACCACTATCACAACCACCACACCACCACAACTACCACTATCACAACCACCACCACCACTATCACAACTACCACTTCCATAACCACCACTATCACAACCACCACTACCACCACCACTACCACCACCACTACCACCAACCACAACCACTCTCACAACCACCACTACCACCACCACAACTACCACTATCACAACCACCACTACCACCACCACAACTACCACTATCACAACCACCACTACCACCACCACAACTACCACTATCACAACCACCACTACCACCACCAGTGATGGCCGGGCTTAGACACCGTAAAAAATCACGACACCTCATTTTAGGTGGTGAGAAATAATCAAGAGGAGAACAGGCATCTTTCTCATTGTTGTGGCTGGGAAGGTGCTGTGAGGCGGTGTTGGTAACAGTGTTGGAGACGTGAGGCATTATTGCAAGTAGTGTTGGAGGCGTGAGGCATCGTTGTAAGTAGTGTTGGAGGCGTGAGGCATCGTTGTAAGTAGTGTTGGAGGCGTGAGGCATCGTTGCAAGTAGTGTTGGAGGCGTGAGGCATCGTTGCAAGTAGTGTTGGAGGCGTGAGGCATTGTTGCAAGCAGTGTTGGAGACGTGAGGCAGTCCCCGCAGCCAGTAAAGGGGGCGTGAGGAAGTCTTGCATCCATGTTTGGAGGCGTGAGGCATTGTTTCAAGTAGTGTTGGAGACGTGAGGCAGTCCTGCAGCCAGTATTGGAGGCGTGAGGAAGTCTTGCTCCAGTGGTGGAGGCGTGAGGCATTGTTGCAAGCAGTGTTGGAGACGTGAGGGAGTCCTGCAGCCAGTATTGGAGGCGTGAGGAAGTCTTGCATCCATGTTTGGAGGCGTGAGACATTGTTGCAAAACAGTGTTGGAGACGTGAGGCAGTCCTCAGCCCCGTATTGGAGGCGTGAGGAATCTTGCATCCAGTGGTGGAGGCGTGAGGCATCGTTTCAAGTAGTGTTGGAGGCGTGAGGGAGTCCTGCCGCCAGTATTGGAGGCGGTGAGGAAGTCTTTTTCAATCCAGTGGTGGAGGCGTGAGGGATCGTTGCAAGAGTGTTTGAGGCGTGAGGGAGTCCTGCAAGCCAGTATTGGAGGCGTGAGGAAGTCCCTTTCATCCAGTGTTGGAGGGGTGAGGCATTGTTGCAAGCAGTGTTGGAGACGTGAGCAGTCCTGCAGCCCGTATTGGAGGGGTGAGGAAGTCTTGCATCCAGTGTTGGAGGCGTGAGGCATTGTTGCAAGCATGTTGGGGACGTGAGGCAGTCCTGCAGCCAGTATTGGAGGCGTGAGGAAGTCTTGCATCCAGTGGTGGAGGCGTGAGGCATCGTTGCAAGCATTTTTGGAGACGTTTAGGCAGTCCTGCAGCCAGTATTGGAGGCGTGAGGAAGTCTTGCATTCAGTGTTGGAGGCGTGAGGCATTTGTTTTCAAGCAGTGTTGGAGACGTGAGGCAGTCCCCGCAGCCAGTATTGGAGGCGTGAGGAAGTCTTTTCACCAGTGTTGGAGGCGTGAGACATTGTTTGCAAGCAGTGTTGGAGACGTGAGGCAGTCCGCAGCCAGATTGGAGGCGTGAGGAAGTCTTGCATCCAGTGGTGGAGGCGTGAGGCATCGTTGCAAGTAGTGTTGGAGGGGTGAGGCATCCGCAGCCAGTATTTTGGGGGCGTGAGGAAGTCTTGCATCCAGTGGTGGAGCGTGAGGCATCGTTGCAAGTAGTGTTGGAGGCGTGAGGCAGTCCTGCAGCCGTATTGGAGGCGTGAGGAAGTCCCTTTCATCCAGTGTTGGAGGCTGAGGCATTTTTTGCAAGCATGTTGGGGGAAAGTGAGGCAGCCTGCAGCCAGTATTGGAGGCGTGAGGAAGTCTTGCATCCAGTGTTTTGGGGGCGTGAGGGATTGTTGCAAGCAGTGTTGAGACGGGGAGGGAGTCCTGCAGCCAGTAAATTTGGGGGCGTGAGGGAAATCTTGCATCCAGTGGTGGAGGCGTGAGGCATCGTTGCAAGCAGTGTTGGAGACGTGAGGCAGTCCTGCAAGCCAGTATTGGAGGCGTGAGGAAGTCTTGCATCCAGGTTTTGGGGGCGTGAGGCATTGTTGCAAGCAGTGTTGGAGACGTGAGGCAGTCCTGCAGCCAGTATTGGAGGCGTGAGGAAGTCTTGCATCCAGTGTTGGAGGCGTGAGACATTGTTGCAAGCAGTGTTGGAGACGTGAGGCAGTCCTGCAGCCAGTATTGGAGGCGTGAGGAAGTCTTGCATCCAGTGGTGGAGGCGTGAGGCATCGTTGCAAGTAGTGTTGGAGGCGTGAGGCATTGTTGCAAGCAGTTTTCGAGGCGAGAGGCATTGTTGCAGCCAGTGTTAGACGCGTGAGGCAGTCTTGCAGCCAGTACTGGAGGCGTGAGGCATTGTTGCAAGCAGTGTTGGAGGCGTGAAGTAGCGCTGGAGTCAGTGTTGGAGGTGTGGCAGAGAGGTGTCGAAGGCACTTTCGCTACCAGTGTTCCAGGTGTGACCATTCTTATCCACCCTCCTTTACATCAACATTTTTTTTTTTTCGTTTTTCTCTCCACTCTGGCTATCTTTTGTATCAGGAGGGGGTGTTCTGGCTTTGTGCTAGCCACAGTGATTGGAAAAATGGGTGAATAGGCATGGAAAGATTTGTTGTAGGTCGTGTATTGAAGGGGAAAACGTGGGCAGCTTTCAACCCCGAAACAATGACGCTGGGCCTCAACACACAGCGCCATCCGCGACATTCAATTCTCCGCTTTCGTACGCCAGGATTTTTTTTCTTTCGGCTTGTTGATTTGCAGTTTTTTTGTGTTGTGTGGGGCCTCTCCCCTCCTCCCTTGTCTTTCTCAGTTAGCAGTCCTTCTGTTTGTAGGTTTATCTGGGTTTAAAGTCTATCTACTACACGAGGGTCAATAAGGCTGCATGTCACCTGTTACCACCAGTCAATAATGTAATACCTAAAATACTGATTAATATAGTGTACTACTATATATATATATATATATATATATATATATATATATATATATATATATATATATATATATTATATAATTATGGATAATCTCTAAGTACTTACTAACGTGAAAAATGCATATTTAGTAGCCCTGGTGTAATTAATTGGTTACTGTGTTAGTGTGTGTGAGTGTGTTGTGTGTGTGTGTGTGTGTGTGTGTGTGTGTGTGTGTGTGTGCTGTGTGTGTGTGTGTGTGTGATGATAGCCTGGCACTGTGTTGTGTGTGTGTGTGTGTGTGTTGTGTGTGTGTGTGTGTGTGTGTGTGTGTGTGTGTGTGTGTGTGTGTGTGTGTGTGTGTGTGTGATGATAGCCTGGCACTCAGCCTGCCCGTCCCACCACCGTGTACTGGAATAATTATTATCTTTATATCATGCCTTGTTAATGCTCTACCCGCTGTTAATCTAATTACTGGGTACCATTTTTTGTGTCCGTGGCGCGTTGCTGTTTTCCTTCCTGCTGCTGTTGCTACATTTGCTGTTGTTGCTGCTACTGTTGCTGTAGTTCCTGTTTCTACCGTCACCAAAGAAACAAGCTTCACCAGGTACCTAGCTTCAGGTACCTGGCTTCACTAGTGTGGCGGCGTGCACCGTGCATGTTCTAACACCTCGCGTGCACCGCACGTAACCACAATCCCTCGAACCAACAATCTGGTCTCTCTCAGTTTGTAACTACAAAGCGCTAAACCCACACGGGTCGCACATCTCTGGCTGGTAGTTTATTGGTGGTAGGAAGGATAGTGGCACCACTCGCACACTGGGTGACTACCAGATGCAAAGTTGACCACAGTGAGGAGGGCGGCGCCAGGGTAATCTACCTCATAATTATCACATTTGTCATCTTCAAGCCATGTGAGTTTACTTACAGGGTCATGCCTCCTGTGTATTAACTAGGGGTCTGACCTGGGGGTCAGTTCCTGACATGCTTTCAGAAGATCAACACCAAAACTAGTTCTATATGGGGAGTATGCTGTCACTAGTCACAGTACTAAGGGCCCACCTTGGGGGTCAGTCCCTCACCAGCTTTCAGAAGATCAACATCTCACACTCTTGCCAAAATTGTTGTTAATGCTGAGTTTATAAGTAAATGACACTGATGGTTGGGAAGATTCAAGTACTCTGAAGCCTGCACTAACACTCTCACAGCCTGCACTAACACTCCCACAGCCTGCACTAACACTCCCACAGCCTGCACTAACACTCCCACAGCCTGCACTAACACTCCCACAGCCCATACCAACGCTCCCACAGCCCATACTAACACTCCCACAGCCTGCACTAACACTCCCACAGCCTGCACTAACCGAACAGCCTGCACTAACATTCGAACAGCCTGCACTAACACTCCCACAGCCCGCACTAACACTCCCACAGCCTGCACTAACACTCCCACAGCCTGCACTAACACTTCCACAGCCACAACTAACACTTCCACAGCCTGCACTAACACTCCCACAGCCCGCACTAATGCTGCCACAGCCCGCACTAACACTCTCACAGCCTGCACTAACACTCCCACAGCCCGCACTAACACTCCCACAGCCCGCACTAACATTCCAACAGCCCACACTAACATTCCCACAGCCTGCACTAACTCCCACAGCCTGCACTAACATTCCCACAGCCCGCACTAACATCCCTACAGCCCGCACTAACACCCCCACAGCCTGCACTAACGCTCCCACAGCCTGCACTAACACTCCCACAACCTGCACTAACACTCCCACAGCCTGCACTAACACTCAGCCCGCACTAACACTCCCACAGCCTGCACTAACATTCCCACAGCCTGCACCAAGTCTCCCTCCCACAGCCCGCACTAACTCTCCCACAGCCTACACTAATCTCTCTCTCTCTCTTCCCCACAGCCTGCAAAAGGAAAGAGGAGCAACAAAGTCTCACCGAGCAGCAGCCTGCGCCCAAGAAGCCGCGCCTAGTTTTCACGGACTTGCAGCGTCGTACACTGCAAGCTATTTTTAAGGTCAGTGTTCCAGTGTTCTTCTGTTCTGTTCCTGTGGTCAGGTGTTCCATTCCAGTGTTCCAATAGTCAGGTGTTCCGTTCCATTGTTCCCCATGGTCAGGTGTTCCGTTCCAGTGTTCCCCATGGTCAGGTGTTCCGTTCCAGTGTTCCCCATGGTCAGACGTTCCGTTCCAGTATTCCCCATGGTCAGGTGTTCCGTTCCAGTGTTCCCCATGGTCAGGTGTTCCGTTCCAATGTTCCCTATGGTCAGATATTCCGATCCAGTGTTTCTCATGGTCAGGTGTTCCGTTTCAGTGTTTCCCATGGTCAGGTGTTCTGCTTCAGTGTTCCCCATGATCAAGTGTTCCTTTGCTCCATTTCGGTGTTCCCATGGTCAGGTGATCCTTTGTTCAATTTCGGTTTTCCCCATGGTCATATGTTCCGTTTGTGTTCGCAAATGACCTTGTGTTCCATTACAGTGTTCCTTATCGTCAAGTGCTTCCTTTGTTCCGTTACAGCGTTCCCATGGTCAGATGAAAGTTAAGACACATATGCAACATCTGGATATCTGTTATTTAGGACATTACGCCATCCAGTGGACATATATTGGAATGACAGCATCTGTAGAATTACAAAGAAAGAGGTAAATTTAGCCTTCACCTGGATTATGTGGTTCCCCACGGGCATCCGTGTGTGGTGGGAGAATCCTGGAGCAAAGACAAGAAGACTGGTGGTTATATAGGCGTCAGTGGATAAGGACGTGTAGCAGACAAGGACATAGTCACTGGTAGGCGGGATTCCCCAGTGGAAGTAGGTCCTACCCAAAGGGATGGGTTAGTTGTAGCAGCCGTGAAGAAGGTCTTGGTTCAGAGGACATCTACAAGACCTTCTTCACGGCTGCTACAACTAACCCATCTCTTTGGGTAGGACCTACTTCCACTGGGGAATCCCGCCTACCAGTGACTATGTCCTCGTCTGCTACACGTCCTTATCCACTGACGACTATATAACCACCAGTCTTCTTGCCTTTGCTCCAGATTCTCCACCACCACGATGCTGTGAACACTAACTCCAAGGCTGAGAGACTGATTACCTCATCTTTTGTATATAGTTCTTCTGTCTTCCAATTATGTCCTAGAATCTGTATTGATAAAGCCACTGGATGGCGAAACGTCTACAATGAAGATATCCAGATGTTGCACATGTGTCTTAACTTTCATCTTATCGGTATTGCATACCTTTCTTGCACATTGTCAGATGTACCTTTGTTCTGTTTCAGTGTGGCCCTTGGTCTGTTCCTTTGCTCTAGTCCAGTGTTACCCTGGTGAGGGGGAACACTGGACCAGAGGAACGCCTAGTTCCTCTGGTCAGGAAAGTGTTCCCCAGGTCGAGATCCTATATCCCCCTGGTCAGGTGTTTTTATATTCGCCTGGTCAAGTGTTCCTATATCCCATAGTCAGGTGTTCATATGTCCCCCTGGTCAGGTGTTCCTATGCCCCCCTGGTCAGGTGTTCATATGTCCCCCTGGTCAGGTGTTACTGTCCCCCTGATCAGGTGTTCCTATGTCCCCCAGGTCAGATGTTCCCCTGGTCAGGTGTTCCTATGTACCCCTGATCAGGTGTTCCTATTTCCCCCAGGCCAGGTGTTCCCCTGATCAGGTGTTCCTATGTCCCCCTGATCAGGTATTCCTATTTCCCCCAGGCCAGGTGTTCCCCTGGTCAGGTGTTCCTATGTCCCCCAGGCCAGGTGTTCCCCTGGTCAGGTGTTCCTATTTCCCCCAGGCCAGGTGTTCCTATGTTCCCCAGGCCAGGTATTCCTCTGGTCAGGTGTTCCTATGTCCCTCTGGTTAACAGAATCCTGACCATATTCAATACCATGCATGGTGAGGATTTAATCCTAACGTCACATTTTAGATTTCCAACCTAGCCAGCAGATTCGTTTACGATGTGATAAATGCCACAGTGGGACCGAAACACTTCACAATAAAGATACCTAATTATTGGACATGAGTCTTGCTCATCAACTTGTCGGTATTATACCATTCTGATATTCACTTGTTAGAATGATTCTTACTTCAATTAACAGTCAAACGACTTCCGTTGTACCCTGCATTGCTGACCTGGTTTCTGCAACTGCTGTTGCAATCTCTCATTCAAGACTAAATGCATTTTTTGCAAGGGTGTCTGCCTACTGGCTGCCCCTGATCCCTACCTAACCTGGCTCAGTAGGTGTGTTATGCACCTCAGCCCTATGGGCTGTAAACAAAGATTGCAAAGGTATATAATGGGTACAGGGACGACTAGGGACTTCCAGATCCACCTTGTCCCCTGTTGTCCCTCTCCACCAGCACAGTACTCGAGTATAACGAGTACTGGGTTGGTACTCAGTACCATTGAACTAGTGTATCCTAAGTCTTGCAAATTCCCTCTGAGAGATAGAATCACCTAATTGGGTCGTTAAGGTGGCCTGGAGTGCATCGTCTTCCCTTCTCAGACCCTCGTCAGTCATTCTGTGGTTCCGTAAGGTGGCACTCTGCCACCACCTCCAATGATAGTAGTGGTGGTGGTAATGAAGGTGATAGTTCCGTAAGGTGGCACTCTGCCACCACCTCCAATGATAGTAGTGGTGGTAATGAAGGTGATAGTTTCCGTAAGGTGGCACTCTGCCACCACCTCCAATGATAGTAGTGGTGGTGGTAATGAAGGTGATAGTTCCGTAAGGTGGCACTCTGCCACCACCTCCAATGATAGTAGTGGTGGTGGTAATGAAGGTGATAGTTCCGTAAGGTGGCACTCTGCCACCACCTCCAATGATAGTAGTGGTGGTGGTATGAAAGGTGATAGTTCCGTAAGGTGGCACTCTGCCACCACCTCCAATGATAGTAGTGGTGGTGGTAATGAAGGTGATAGTTGTAAAAGGATAATAACAGTAATAGTGGTAAATTACACACCGGTGCAACATTTGGGTTATCTGGAGGTTACCTGGAGGTTATTCCGGGGATCAACGCCCCCGCGGCCCGGTCCATGACCAGGCCTCCCGATGGATCAGGACCTGATCAACTAGGCTGTTACTGCTGGCCGCACGCAGTCCATCGTACGAGCCACAGCCCGGCTGATCCGACACTGACTTTAGGTATCTGTCCAGCTCTCTCTTGAAGGCAGCCAGGGGTTTATTGGCAATTCCCCTAATGCTTGATGGGAGGCTGTTGAACAGTTTTGGGCCCTGGAACTTATGGTGTTTTCCCTTAGTGTACCAATTGCGCCCCTACTTTTTATTGGCGGCATTTTGCATCGCCCCGCCCAGTCTTTTACTTTCGTAGGGAGTGATTTCTGTGTGCAGATTTGGGGGCCATTCCTTCCAAGATTTTCCAAGTGTAGATTATGATACATCTCTCCCTCCTGCGTTCCAACGAGTACAAGTCAAGTGCTTCCAAGCCGTTCCCAGTAGTTAAGGTGCTTGACAGAACTTATACGTGCAGTAAAGGATCTCTGTACACTCTCTAGATCTGCGATTTCACCTGCTTTGAATGGAGATGTTTTAAAGTACAGCAGTATTCCAGCCTAGAGAGAACAAGTGATTTGAAAAGGATCATCATTGGCTTGGCATCTCTCGTTTTGAACGTTCTCATTATCCATCCTATCATTTCTTTGCACGTGCGATCGTGGCACTGTTGTGATCCCTTTAAAGTGAGATCCTCAGACATTACTATCCCAGGTCCCTTACATTTTTTTTCCGCTCTATTGTATGGCCAGAGTCTGTAGTATACTCTGTTCTAGTTATTATCTCCTCCAGTTTTCCATAACGGAGTAGTTGGAATTTGTCCTCATTGAACATCATATTGTTTACCGTTGCCCACTGGAAAACTTTGTTTATATCTTCTTGGAGGTTAACCGCGTCCTCAGCAGATGACAGCCTCATGCAGATCCTAGTATCATCCGCAAAGGATGATACGGTGCTGTGGTGTATATCTCTGTTTATGTCTGATATGAGGATAAGGAATAAGATAGGGGCGAGTACTGTGCCTGTGGAACAGAGCTCTTCACTATGGCAGCCTCCGATTTAACTCTGTTGACCACTACTCTTTGTGTTCGATTTGTTAGGAAGTTGAAGATCCATCTCCCCACTTTCCCAGTTATTCCTTTAGCACGTATTTTATGGGCTATTACGCCATGATCGCATTTGTCAAATGCTTTTGCAAAGTCTGTGTATATTACATCTGCATTCTGATTTTCTTCCAGTGCATCCAAGGCCATGTCATAGTGATCCAGTAGTTGTGAGAGGCAGGAGCGACCTGCCCTGAACCCATGTTGCCCTGGATTGTGCAGATTTTGGGAATCCAAGTGATTTGCAATCCTGCTTTATTGAGGAAACGTTTCGCCCCACAGTGGCTTCATTAGTCCATACAAAGAAGAATATAAGCCACTTAACATGGCTCACGAAATCGTAATGACACGATTGCAAATAAACCATACCACGGGTGGGGATAGAACCCGCGTCAAAACCCCAAACCGTGGCGTTAGCCACTGCTTCGCACATATACCGTATTCTTTTCAAGACCGATGGATTGACCACATCGACTCAAGGCTAAGGACTGATTACCTCAAACTCCTCCTGTTCTTCACCATTCTCCTTTGTATGGACTGATGAAGCCAGTGTGGCGAAAAAACTCTCCCTCATTAAAGATACCCAAATGTTAGACATGTGTCTAATTTACCAACTTGTCGGTTCTCAAAACCGCTCGTCTACACTAGTAACAGTAACATTTATGCTAGACGTTAACCTTCTTAGTCACACCACTCATGGCCACGAAAAATATTTATCAATAAAAATCATGGAATAATTCAACACAGAATAAAAGCAACGAACATAGACCCATCACTAAATACTCTGCTGAAAGTTCTCCGAGGTCCCTACAGGCAACGTCCTAGAGGACCCTCCTTTACTGACTCAGGTGATCCAAGAAACTGTGGTCATATATACGTGAAAAAACCTCCCCCCTCCCTTTCTTCCGTTTGCCGTTT